TTCTCCCCATCGCAACTGCTCCAGCTCTCCCACCTCTCTGAGTCTTATTGCGTGTGTTTCCATTCACGTCTCAGCAGAAGCAGATTGGTGCTCTACGTGCGTTAGTACGCCATTTCCCTTCAGATCTCCGGTCGCCCTCGTTCACTTGCCTAACTTAGCGTGCATCACCTTTAACCGTTACTGCCATGCCTTTCGTGTCTGCGTTAGATTTTTGTCAGCCTGTTCTTATAGCTAGGGTTTGTCAGAATATTATGCTCTAGCCTGTAGTGGGGTGCTCTATAGCGAGTACAACCCTTCTAGGGTTTGCTATTTGTATCCTCATTCTTGCTAGTGCTCTCCTCTTCTTCCTTTTAAACTTTCACATGCTATCAGAGCAGGTCGATCCCCTTGGATCGATCCTGTGGGTGGGCTCACCACCTCGTTGCTTCCGCTGCAACTTCCACTGCTACCCTCTGTGCCGCACGCCCCGTGGCGTGCGGCAGTTTTTCTTCCCGCCGTGCGCCCCGAGGCGCGCGGCGGTTTTCTGCCCGCCGTGCGCCCCGTGGCGCGCGGCGGCTCTCTGCCCGCTGTGCGCCCCGAGGCGCGCGGCGGGCTTCTGCCCCGTCACTCGGCGCGTCGCCCTCGGGAGGCGCTGCGACGGGCGACGGGGACCCGCGCGTCGCCCCCCGTCGCCCGTCGTGGCCTGCGCGCGGCCCGTACAGGCTGCGCGCGGCCCGTAAGGGCTGCGCCAGGCCCGGACGCGGCCCGTACGGGCTGCGCCAGGCCAGCGCGCGGCCCGTACGGGCTGCGCCAGGCCCGCGCGCGGCCCGTACGGGCTGCGCCAGGCCCGCGCGCGGCTCGGGCCGCCTGCGCGCGGTTCGGGCGGCTGTGCCAGGCCCGTGGGCGGCCCTTTCCTCGCTGCCCCTGCCCTCCCCGCTGTCCCTCGTGCTTCTACTGGCGCCCCACCCCTCCTACAGCCCGTTCTCCTGAATTAGGGTTTGGGGGTGAGGGGTATGGGGGTGAAGCCACTGTGTGCCGTTCCCTGCTCCTCCTCCTCCTCCGTCTCCCTGTGCTGCAGCTGCCGCTGAAGGGGGGTGGACTTTTTGGAGCCGTTGGAGTGGTACTAAGGGGGGGTGAAGGGGGAGTGGAGCTAGCGGTGTAGCAGCGGGTGTGTGTCAGGGGGAGTGGGATAGTTTGGGGAGGTTGAAGGGGGTGGCCGCCGTGAAGCCAGCAGCTCCAGTCGCCCGTGAGACCGTTGCGCCAGTCGCCCGTGAGCCCGTTGCGCCAGTCGCCCGTGAGCCCGTTGCTCGTCTGCCGCTACTTTTAGCCGCGGAGCCAGTTACTCCAGTAGCCCGTGTGCCAGTTGCTCCAGTTGCCAGTGTGCGAGTTGCTCCAGTTGCCCGTGTGCCAGTTGCTCCAGTTGCGCCGTGTGCCAGCAGCTTCAGCTGCCGCCCACTACCTCCTCTCCTCTCATAGTCTCTTTCCTCCTCCTCACTTGCCCGTTGTGACTACCACTAGCTTTGCTCATAATTGTGAATTTTAAACTATTGCTTCTTGAACTTGTGCTCAGAATGTGTGGTGACATTGTGATCCACCCTGAGCTTGAACTGCTTTGCTTGCTCTGCTGATTACACCCCACTTTGGCTATGGGGGTGTGTCAGAATATTATGCTCTAGCCTGTAGTGGGGTGCTCTATAGCGAGTACAACCCTTCTAGGGTTTGCTATTTGTATCCTCATTCTTGCTAGTGCTCTCCTCTTCTTCCTTTTAAACTTTCACAGGGTTTACTCCTGGCGAGAATCACGGCAGTGGGCGTGAAGTGAACTGCGCTACCTGCTGCTAGCGGCGGAGTGTGTGGTGGCGTAAGGCGCACGTTCTTCTTCTTCTGCTGCTGCTGGTGCTGCTAGTAGGATTCGCGACTGAGGGCGTGACGCAGTCTGGTTTCTTGTCAATTTGGCGCACGGTCGCTCTCAGTGAGATCCGATCTGTGCTATTGCTCTGCAGTTGCTTGTACGCTTTTGCTCTTTTGTAACATTTGACCGTTTTTGCTGCAGGCCTTCAAGGGAAGCTCCCTCAATGAAATTTCCGTGCCAGCTACTCATCCACACTGCCTACATCTTTCTGTTGTTTTTATGTGCTACCTTATGCAACGGCGATGACAGTTGTTTCACTTTCAGACCTTATTTGTATTGCCGTTTTTTGCAGCGACTATCATTTTTAAAGGTACGTGGTGGTCTCTGCCGTTCCGTGTGATTTCCACCTGAACTGTGTGTCGTTTGTATTTTCAGGAAGTTCAGTGCCGATATATGCGTCGTGTATTCAGCAAAGTTAGTAGAGCCTCTGATGCAATATCTTCATGTATTGTGTACATGCAACTCTAATATAAATATTTTTAACACACACAATGATCCTAACATTTAAACAAATTTGTTACTGATTTGTGTGGTTGCACTAGTTGCTAGTATGGGAATTTTTCGTTCCAAATATATGTGATTTGCTATGTTTGCATAACATAATTTTGCAGATTATATACTTGCCAGTATGGAATTGTAAACAGATGGTGAAACAAATGCATACCAAAGAGTATGTTTTTGTTAGTGAAGTTGGTATCGTTTTGGTATGCATTGGTGCTCTACCGTTTACATACTAATCCAAACATACTAAATACCTACGACGCATGCTACTTTATGGTACCCCTAATGACCCATACTATTTGTATACTTCAGGATATGTTGCAAGTATATCTACGTTATGTAAAACGATTCATGAAATTTGAGATGCATGAAGGTGGACGCCATGGTCGGGCACGTGTCGTCGCTGCTCACCAGCGTGTAGTTCAGCCCTGCCTGCACGGCCTTCAAGGGGGTGACTGGGGAGCGATATAACAGGCGGAAGAAGGTTTTTTTTTTTTTTTTTTTTTTTTTTTTTAATTTATTATATTTTTTTATTATAACGTGACTCGTGCAGCCGCTCTCACTTTGTGACGCGTCGAGGCTGACGCTTGCCGCTCCCACGAGGCGCGGAGCGAGTTGGTCGTGGACGCAGAGCGCCAGAAGCAGCATCAGCGCCGCGATTGAGGTCGCCGTGCGCTGGGAAGAGCAAGAATTCAAGGACGGGCGCATCGTCGCGATGTTGTTAAATTCAGTCTTCGTGAGAACGTGGGTGACACCTGTTCAAGAACGGCGATAGTCTATTCTGGGCGTAGGACGAAATTTCAGCTTCGTTATTCAGGAAAATGATCACCGCCGGTTGTCTGATTGTGCAAGAACGGAGAGCAAAAAGAGCAAACATTAACACAAAGAAGCTGTGGCAAAAAGAGGCTACTTCACTTGAATTTTGAGCTCTGGTTCTGGTTGTGTGGTTTTTGAAGGTGGGGAAAATCACAGGGATTGGTTTCGTCCACTGTTGGTAACTCTAGAAAATCACGACGCCTGTCGTTCGCTAGATTACGAATCGACGGCGATATTGTTGTCAGTCTGCCCATGTGATGGCGAAGATTTCGCGTCGCCAGTGCGGACAAGCCCGAATTCTCACCGTTTCTCCCACACAAACTCTTTTGTCCGCCTGGCAGAGTCAATGCAGTAGTACGAATGGCCTCCTTGGTCAATGCAATAGTGACAGATCAACATGGCAGTTCCAGCAGGGCCGAGTTGCATTTCGCTGGCATCGTTTGAGTACTGTTATGCACAATCAGCCATTATGGACATTGGACACGCATCGCCTTCAGTTCCCGAACGGGCGCCTCTATCCTAAATTCACGAAATTCCCCCTCTGGTTCTAGCGTCATATATTATTGCTTGGCCTTCATTGCTTGTTCGGGTCTTTAGTCATGGCTTCGTTATTATTTATAACCACAGCTCATACTCAATACTGCATAAATAACTCATCAGTGACGTAACATTATTCATTTTCCTTCACACGAATGACACATTGTTACGAGTGCTGTTGCGATCAAGAGTTCATCGTCCCTGGGATCACCTCGAAAAGGTTCGCACACAACTGATTGGTAGTGGTGGGCCCTGTCAGAATACTGAACGAGAATAGATGAACTAGCAAAGAGTTGGATATAAGTACTAACCCTAATTGGGTTGTACCCCTTATGGGCTACCCCACTATAGCCTACACAATATAAGCTATAAAACATTTTGACACACCTCCATAGGCAAAGTGGGAGAGAACAAGTGGTCATAAGACTAGTCAAGAAAAGCAAAGCAAGCTCGGGGTGGATCACAAAGTCACCACACAGTCCGAGCACAAGCAAAGGGCCACAAGGCCAGTTCACATGCAGAGTTATATAAAAGAATACAAACAATACAGTGATCATACCCTAGCAAGTGTAAGCATGCAGGTATATATATAGATCACAATACACGCAAAGTCAAGCAGTGAGCAAGTGAGGCAAAGTAGGCACAAGACCTAACACAGTAGAGAAGCGCTGATGATCACCAGACGGAAGTGCCTTGGTGAAAAAATCAGCAGTGTTGGCCCTAGTGGCCACGTATGCAAGACGAAGCTGGCCACGCTGCTGCAACTCTCGAGAAAGAAAGTATCGCAGAGCGATGTGCTTCCTTCGGTGCTCCTGACACAAGGCAATCATGGCCTTGTTGTCTACGTACAGAACTGGAGGCGAACGAGGCTGCTCTCCCAAGTCAGTCAGCAGGTAGGTGAGCCAGCGTAGCTCCTATGCAGCCATGGCCCCTGCGTAGATCTCAGCCTCACAATTGGAGCTGAGAACCGAAGACGAGCGGGTAGACAGCCAGGAAACAGAGCCATAACCGAGGTTGAAGGTGTAACCCTCTGACGACCGCTGGGTAGCTGAGTCTTCAACCCAAGAAGCGTCTGCGTGACCAGTGAGGACAACTAGACCCCGTCCTCCAAGCACGAGCCCCATGCCCGACGTACTGCACAAGTAACGCACTACCCTCTTCGCAGCATCCCAATGCACCTTTCGGTGCCTACCGGGAGCCACGTAGCAAGCCAGGAGGCTGAGAGGGTACGCGAGGTCAGGTCGAGTGCACGTCATCATGGACTGGCAGACTCAGACGCAGCAACAAGAGCAGTGGCATAGTCTAGACGACAGGCAGCAGAAAAGTCAAGCAGCTCAACAACGAGGGCACACGCAGCAGCAGACTCAAAAGAAGGGTTAGTGACAACAGTGGCGAGGAGACAAGAGATCGTGGGACTGGCAGCACGAGCGCGGTCAGACTCAGGGTCAGGAACCTCAGGAAGAGAGGACTCAGGAGGAGCAGGCAGAGGAACACGCAGTGGAACAGAGGAAGGACGGAGTGCCATAGCGTGCGTGCCGGGGACCGGAGGAGGACACGAACGAGGAGCGCGAGGAGCAGTGCAAACAGGGGAGGCAAGACGAGACGCAGGCTCACGATGCTCTGTAAGACCGCCGAACTTCTCAGTGTAAGGAGAAGGAGCAGGCAGTGGGGAGGCTGGCTGTAACGGCAGCTGCAACTGGTCAGGCGGTGGACACAGGAGGGGAGGAGTAAGATTAGTAGAAGACGTGACACCAAGAACCTGCTGAAATAAGGGAACGAAATACGGTCGCGGCCGCACAGTGCCTCCAAGGTCAACAGCTCCAGCTCCTCCAGCTCCAGCGCCTCCCGTGCCAGTGCCTCCAACTCCAGCTCCTCCAGCTCCAGCGCCTCCAGCGTCAGTGCCACCAGCTCCAACGCCTCCCGCGCCAGTGCCTCCAACTCCAGCTCCTCCAGCTACAGCGCCTCCAGCGCCAGTGCCACCAGCTCCAGCTCCTCTAGCTCCAACGCCACCAATGCCAGAGCCTCCAGCTCCAGCAGCTCAAGGCTCCGTAGGGTCTCCAGCTCCAGCGCCCCCAACACCACCAGTCCCGGCAGCTCTAGTACCCCTGGTACGAGCACCTCCAGGACCAGCAGCTGCAGTACCTCCAATACCACAAGCTACAGCAGTAACTCCAGCACCTCTAGCTCCAACGGCTCCAGCTCCGTTAGCTCCACTCGGAAGGCGTGCCCGCCAAACAAGCCACTCACGCAGCTACTGCGGAGACAGTCTCGGTGAAGCACCAGCAGGACCTCCAAACGAAGCAGCACCCCGAGGCTCAGTACCCCCAGACTCCGCACCCTCTGACTCAGCACCCCCAAGCTCAACACCCTCAGGCTCAGGACCCCCAGGCTCCACACCTGCAGGCTCAGCACCCCCAGGCTCATCACCCCCAAGCTCAGCACCCCTAGACCTAGCACCTTCAGACTCCGCAATCCCCGGCTCCGCACCCCCAGACGCAGCACCCCCAGACGCAGCACCTCGAGCAGCACCTGAGCCGACAGCTACCTCAACAGGCGCAGTACCAGGGAGAGGGTCTACCTGAGACACACCTGAGGGAGCAGGACCCTGGGGGGGGAGGGGGTCTACCGGAGGGGGACCTGGAGTAAGGAAGAGCGGCGGGGGTGGGGGAGGGGAAGAGTGGTAGGGGAAGAGACGGTAAAATGGAACTGACTCGTCAAACGTGACGTCCTGAGAGGGGAAGACACGGCGCGAGGTGGGGTGGTAAAACTGCCTGCCAGGCGCATCAGGGGAAAAGTCAAGGAAGACGCAGGGAATAGCGCGGGTGGAGAGCTTGTTCGCGGACGTACCGCGAACAAAGGCACGAGAACCCCAGACCCGGAACACCGACGCATCGCCAACCTTCCCCGTCCAATGCACTGTAGGCGAGGTCTCTGGGAAGGAGACACGGGGCCAGAGGTTGAGCTGATGCGCCGCGTACCGGACCACAAACGGCCACAGAAAATGGGGAGCAGCCGCATGGATCATGCAGGTACGAGCAACCTCCATGACTAAGCCAATGCGGCGCTCAGCAATCCCATTTTGCTGAGGGGAGTCCGGAAGCGTGAATGACTGGAGAATGCCCTCCCCAACGCAAAATACCCGCAAGAGGTCGGAGGAGAACTCACCACCTCAGTCTGAGTGCAGACGCAGGACAGGAATGTCCGCACGGAACTGCTCGCGGAGTTGGAGATGGACTGCGCGGATCCAAGGGATCGAGACATCAACGACCTGACTCTTGCTGCGCAAGGGGAAGACTGTGGTGTACCACGTGTAGTCGTCAACAACCAGCAGAAAGTAGCGCTCGCGGCCCTGTCCAGTGACGCGGGCTGGGCCCCACACGTCCATGTGGAGAGTCTGCAGGGGAGCAGTTGACGGGGGAAACGAGGAGTGAGGAGCGGCGCGCTGCCGCCCCTCGACGCAAGGAAGGCAGGGCGGGGCAAGCGAGGGCGGTAGGGGAGGTAGAGTCCTGGGAAGACCAGAGACAAGGAGACGGGATTTCATGCCACGAAGGCGTGGCAAGGAGGGGTGACCCAGGCGGTGGTGCCACAAAAGAGTCTGGTGCGACAGGAGGCGACACGAGCAAGGGGGTGCTACCTGACCTGACGAGGACACCTGAGCAGACGCAACTACCTGAGGAGGCTTGGTAGCCAGTGTGTACAGTCTCGACCCTGGGTGAGGAGTGAACGTGGCCAGGTGACGACCCGTCTGTGTACACGTGCAGATCGACACACGCTGACCCCCAGGAGTGGTGGTAGTGACCATCGCGTCCTGGAGGGCAGCGGTACTCACGAAGTTCGTAGAGAACGAGGGGAGGTGAAGGCCTGATCGTGAGCCGGACGGAACCGCTGGACACGGGAGGACAGTGGAGGAACAGGCAACGACCGGGCCCCCGGAGGGGTCAGCCAGTCTGACAGTGACAGGTGCAGGGAGAGGAGCGAGGGTGGTGCTGTCACGAAAGAAACAGCGTGAGGCACATGAGTCCAGCGTTAAAGTGTGCAAGGCCTCAGCAGGCGCAGTACCAGGGAGAGAAGACTCACCAGCGTCTAGAGCAGCATCCTCTATACCTGGGTCAGGCGGCACACACCGGTAACAGTCACCCTCAGCACTAGCAGACAAAGCATACATAGCAGAAAGAATAGCATCATAGTCTAGGTCAAAGATCGCAACACCAGACCTAAGCAGCTCTGCCCAGTGGGGGCGCTCGACCTCATCACCAAACTCAGCACGCCACGCATCGTCGAGACGGGAGAAGCAGCGGTGCTGCGTGTGCGCCTTCCCGCATGTCTGTCCAGCACGGTCACCCGTGCGAATGACATACGGCAGCTCACACTACCCCCAGACGCCCCACGCTGAAACAACCACTCACGAAGGTGCTCGGGCGAAGGGGTCTCGCTCCGACGCTGCTGCCGCTGCCACTGGCCTCCTCCAAAACCTCCACGCTGAGCTCGAGTCCTACCTCCACCACTGCCACTGCCGCCACTCCCACCGCTGCCTCCACCGCCGCCACCAACGCCCCCACTCCCTCCACCACTCCCTCCGCTGCCACCACTTCCACTACCTCCACTGCCTCCACTGCTGCCCCCACCACCACTCCCGCTGCCCCCTCCACCACCCGTGCCACCCTTGCCCTTGCTTCTGCGGCGCTTCCCACTAGCAGAAGCAGCCCCGACATCCTCAGTACTAAGGACGTCTACAGCAGCAGCAGAGGCGTAGGAGGGGGCAAGGGGGGAGGGGGAGCTCCCCTCAAAGAAGGGCGTGCGCGGAGTGCCATGAGCAGCACCTACAGCTACTGCACTAGTCTCAGCTGCAAGGAGGTGCTGCTCTAGTAGGTCAACAGTGAGGGAGGTGGGGTCAAGGGAGAGGAAGTGGTCCCTGACAGAGCGCAGAGAGTCAGGGAGGCGGGTGACTATAAAGTAGAGGGTGATGTACATTGGGGGCGGGTTCTTGTCAAGGAACTCTGCAGGGAGGTCAGCGCGGTAGCGAGCGTCGCTAGTGCGAAGGTGGGAAACCAGGTCCTTGATTGTGGCAAAGGCGGACAGCTCGGGGAATAGGTAGTGCAGGAGGAGGCAGTGGCAGGCGAGGAGTAGCGAGCGACTACAGCGTCGTATAGTGTCTGCGCTGTCCTGTGCTGTCCGAAGTGAGCGCATTCGGCCAAAGGCAGGTGGTTGCCAATGGCTAAGCGGGCAGCAGCGTCGTGAGTTAGCCACTGTGAACAAGTCGCACTGTCTGCTGTGGCGGGAGGGGCGGGAGCGGCAAACATATATGAAATAGCCTGTGTAGGCTGTAGTGGGGTAGATATTATGGGGTACAACTTTTCTAGGTTTTCATACTTGTACCCATCTCCTTTCTAGTCCACATCATTCCTCGTACTATTCTCACATGGTATAGAGCGGGTTCCCTAGTGGGACCGTTTTTTTTTAGGGCCCACCACTTCAAATTTTTTTTTTCCTGCCCTGCACGAATCTCGCTCTTGCCCCTGTCGCGCGCCTCGCGCTTGCCTCACCTGCGCCCCGTGCGCCTACCCTGCCGTCACGGCCCCTGCTGTCGCGGCCCTGTTTGAAGCCGTCGCGGCCCTGCCGCCCTGCCGTCGCGGCCCTGCCGCCCTGCCATCGCGGCCCTCCCTGCGGCCGTCGAGGCCCTACCCTGCCGTTACGGCATTGCCGCCCTGCAGTCGCGGCCCTGCCGCCCTGCCGTCGCGGCCCTCCCTGACGCCGTCGCGGCCCCACCCTGCCGTCGCGGCCCGACCGCCCTGCCGTCGCGGCCCTCCCTGATCCGTTGCGGCCCTGCCCTCCCATCGCAGCCTTCCGCCCTGCTGTCGCGGCCCTGCCTGAAGCCGTCGCGGCCCTACCTGCCGCCGCCGCGGCCCGTCCTACGGCCGCCGACGCGGCCCTGCCTACCGCCGCGGTTGTGGCCCTGCCTACAGCCGCTGTTGCGGCCCTACCCTGATCCCGCCCTGATAAGCGCACCGCCGCACCCGCGCCGCCCTGCCAAGCCGCGCAGCCTTACCGAGCCACGCCGCCCTACCAAGCCGCGCAGCCCTGCCGAGTCGCGCTGCTCTTGCTGCTGCTGCTGCTGCTGCTGCTGCTGCTGCTGCTGCTGCTGCTGCTGCTACTGCTACTGCTACTGCTAATGCTACTGCTGTCATGGCTACCCCTAATGTACTTATCTTCGATGCTGTTGATTTTGAGGGTCGGGCAGTTGATTTTGAGGTCTGGGTCAATGCTCTGCAGCTGTTTCTGCAGTGCTTTTCTAGGGACGGAGTCTCACTGTTCGATCTCATGTCCGGCGTCTCTGTTGCACCTGCTGCCGATGCTAACAGTACTGTTCGCAAGCAGTGGACCACGCGCGATGCTGCTGCCCGTCTTGCTGTTCGTAGTCACCTGCCGTCTGCTGAGCGCGCGCACTTTAGCCAGTACAAGACCGCTAGGACTCTGTACGATGCTGTTGTTGCATGCTACTCCTCCCCTGCCACTGCTGCCCTTAGCCGCCTCATGCTGCCGTACCTGTTCCCTGACCTAGCTGCTTTTGCCACAGTCGCTGACCTCATTACGCACCTCCGCACTAGTGACACCCGCTACCGCGCTGCGCTTCCTGCCGAGTTCTGCGCCAAGAACCCCCCCCTATGTACATCACTCTCTACTACCTCGTCACCCAGCTCCCTGACTCCCTTCGCTCGGTCAGGGACCATTTCCTCTCCCTTTGCCCCACCACGCTCACCTTTGACCTCCTCGAGGAGTGCCTCCTTGCAGCTGAGAAGAGTATAGTCACTGTAGGAGCCTCTCGTGGTGACCCTCGTGCCCCTTTCTTTGAGGGGTGCTCCCCCGTTCCCCTTTTGCCTTCTGTTGCCTCTGCTGCTGCTGTCGACCTCGTTGGCACCGAGTCGGTCGGCACTACGTCTGCTCCTAGTGGGAGG